GTGCACATACACTTGAAGTAGCTATACCACACTACACCAAAAAATATACAGTAATAGTAATAGTAATTATATCAATATCGCAGACATTACCTCCTTCAATTTGTTCCTTGTCTTGTCTCAGTGCAGATATCATAATAGAATCATCATTAATAGTCTCCAAGAAAAGAGAATCTTTCTCATCATTACTAGATGAATCATTCCTTATTTTCTGTAGAATAGGAAGGGACATTTCTTCCACTGACAGTATAAACTCTAACAATTGAAGTGACTCCAACATTGAGTAAACACAACTACTAGGAATATTTCCCTCATCACCAGACACCAAAGATCTTCCTTTCCAATGAAAACTACTTTGTTTCTCATATATCTTCAGCTGCTCTCCCTCACTGAATGATAATTCATTACTCTCTGTTGCATGATAGTCATAACGAGCAATAAAAACAGATGCTGCTGTTGATTTATTCACTATGATACCAGAGATATAATATCAAACATTTAATGAAAATAATGACACATACCTCTTATTACATCTCTATGTTTCTTATTCTCTTCTCTTTTATTAAAAATTTGTACATTCATTAATGATATCTGTTCTTGTAGCTCAGCTATTTCTCTCTTAATATCTATTAATGATTCATTCTGATCCAGTAAACCTATCATAGTATAATGATAATACAGTAACACATACATTATGATTCAGTACCAGTTTTATTTGTTAATGATAATTGCAATTGTTCTATTTCCATTCTCATTCCACTCCTGATTCTGTATGATGCTATATAATAATAATAATGATATTAATACTAATAATAATAATAATAATAATAATAATAATACTTAATAATTCACACCTGAACTAGTATTTCTTAGTAAAGACAAAAGTTGTTGAATTTCCTTTACTCTCATTTCTACATTATTTCAATTATAATCAATAAAGTTTGATTATACTTACTTGTTAATGTTTCTTCTAATTGTTTGTTTCTATTTATTTCTTTTATTAGCTGTCTATTAATTATTGTCATACTTGTATCAGTTGATAGTATATCTGAAATATAATAATTATTCATCAATTAATAATACTGGTCAACAACCATTACATTAATGTATTATTATACCTTGATTAATTACTGATTGAGGTGTTGCTCCTTCTGTTTTTTTCTCCTCCAGTCTTGCTACTCTCTCTTCCTATTATAAGTTGGTGTAATAAAAATAATCAAACAGAAATTATTATACTTTTGTATCATGAGGTTGTTCCTTTATCTCCTGTATCTCCTCTTCCAGTGGCTCCTGTATTTCCTTTATAATACAGTACATAATTACTGACAGTATATATACACATACATGTATCTTTTGTTTTTTGGATATTGTGCAGTATCCAACAGTGAGCTTCATTAGATCATTCTTTATTAATAATTCAAGATTCTCACTCAATTTTATAATGAGAGCTCCAGTGAGAGAGTGGGGGAAGGAGCAAGTGATGGTGATGGATTGAGTGCTTTTGATGTTGATCAGCTTCACAAATTTACCAGAAGATTTTGATACAATATCTGTAACATCCTTTAGTTTATGCTCAGTAGCTTCCCATCCAAGTACATAAGTAGCTGTTTCACATTTAAGAGGAGGACTGGCCCTAACTACATCAAATGGCTCATTCAAGCACAAATCAACTGACAAACTACGACACGACTCATCAATTTCCCTCTTGTAATCATCAATGTATTTCTGAGCATCATTAATCTCAAAGTGCTCAACAACAGCTTCTAGGATCACGATATTAATGAGACTGCAATTTTTTCTAATTAAACGCATCACACTTTGAAGATTACTAATCAAACTCAGTTCTGCTTCAAGGTCAGAGTTGAAATCTTCAATGAACATCTTAAGATCTTCT